GAAGAAATGGCTCAAAAATGGTCGACGGATACATGACGATAGCGGCGTGTGAAGACGATGTGGCGCTGAATGATATTTGCGGCTGTTTTTTGTTTCTTTATTAGAACGTTAAATATATACATCAAATTATCTCGCATCGATATGCAGCCCGCAGTATCTCAGTAGCCGGGGATAATTAGGAATTAAATGTTTTCTTCGCCTTCTGTGTTATGGTAGCAGCAGGGTATATATTATTTATTGCCGTTTAGGGTTGATTAGCCTGGCTGTTACAAATTTAAGAGCATCACTTCTTACACCGTAGTGTTGAAGTTTCCTGATTAATGTTTCATGGTGAACACAATCGAAAGATTTGGGTAGGTCACATAATATACCCAAAGCATCCTGTGAATTCTCCCATGCATTAAAGATATATTTAATAAGCTCAACACCAGCGTCAGTTGTTAAGCGAACCCTTGTGAACCCGAAGTGATTTTTATGATGTAAATTATTTAACATCATAAAAATCATTTATCATTTCATCAAGAATAATTTTTTAAAAATTTTACTAAGCGTTGGCAGTACAGAAATAGGTCTAAAATTAGCGGGGTCTAATGTACTACTAGATTTAAATAAAGGTATTACTTTAGTATGCTTCATTAAATCAGGAAACACATCAGATTCAATACTAGTATTAAAAATAATAGATAGTTGAGGTGCGATTGTATCTATTATAGACGCAATAACTTTGACGAAAATCCTCAACAGATCGGCGGTTTTCTTAATATCAATAGTCTTACATTTTGTTTAACTAATGATTCGGAGACGGCAAGAGAAGAATTCAGTGACTTAGTGGTTAAAATCGAAATGTCAGTAAAATATTTCTCAAATACCATTGCAACGTCCTGATATGATTTAGTTAATTTATTGTTAAAACTTAACTGGTAGTTCCAATTGCGAGAGTTGACCTTACCAGTTTTACTATTAATTATACTCCATGTCATTTTAATTTTATTAGAAGCCGTATTTATTTCATTGCTCAAATACAAAGACTTGGCTATGGAGCACACTCTTTTAAATATTTTTTTACATATTCCCTAAATTCGATGCTAGGATTATATGACGTTTCATTGTATTGTTCATATAACCATTGTGCTAACTCCAGAGCACACGTCTTCAGCACAATAGGAAGGACTCCATCAGGCCCACTCGATTTACTGACGTCCAGGGAGAAGAGTGTTGCAAACCGAGTGCTGTGTAAACTGTACATCCGGCATGGAGCACTCACACCGTGGGATCGTTGGCGGTGTTTTACCCCGTCATCGAGAGACGAGTTGGACGCAAAGAGAGAGTCTCACAGATCGGCTTTCTCCTTTGCGGCATGGGCCAGTGATTCGTCCTCTCTGTGCAGAGATGGAAGAGATGACTGACAGAAGTTCCCTTAGACAGCCTTGGAGGGAAACCAAATGCACGGTTTCCCTAAGAAAGGCGAACTAGCTTTTCGCCAATTCTGCCTATGTGCTCAGACCTTGCCTTGGCAATGACTCTTTTGAGGGACCTGGAGGCGGAATCATACTTCTTTTTAAGAGCGCTGGTGTCTAAATCCTGAGACGCTGATGCGTCAGCCCAGGCCCGGTAGTACTCCTGCTTATAGCGTGATGCTTTTTACAGGAGCGACCAAACCATGGCTGGGATCTGCCTCCGATGGGCATCACAGATGACGGAATAAAAAGTTCCATACCCTGAAGTACCACATCAGCGACAGAATCAGCAACAACGCTAGGATCGTCCGGCGAGGAGCAAACCCACCTCCAAGGGTAGGATGCAAAAAAAGCATGCAGCAACGACGGCAGCCTGCAGAATGCAACCGCGACGTTAACGTTACTGGCACCATACTCCGGACAAGACAATGGTCCAACGAGCCTAATGGGCGTCGTCGGAAACCTATCCGTCTATCCGTGCGGATGAGAGGTCAGCAGAAGGTCAAACAGGGAAGTTGTATGATCTTCCACATCTGGAATCCGCGTAGGCGCAGTAACCAGTTGTGTCAGACCATAGGCCAAAGAAAAGTCATAAACAGATCACCCCGCATGATCGGTTAAACGTGAACCTAGCCATTCGGCGTGGTGGGCGTTAAAATTGCCAAGGATCACGATCTCTGCGGATGGGATCTGTTGTAGCGCGGAATCTGTAGCCATTTGGACGTGGTCAAGGAGTCGGTCCGTTTCGATATTACCGCTATAGGACTTATACAGGCACCCGTAGATGCGGAAATGGTCGTCGCTGTCTATGCGCAGCCATAGGATGAACAGGTTCGTACCTTCAAGACTGCCGAAGCGTCGAAAACATGTCCTCTCTACGTATAAGCAAACCCCAGCACGGGTCACAAACGAATGTTCTAATTTGTACCTCGGATAGGAGAGATATGAAATATCAGCAGGAGAAGACACCTGAGTCTCGGTTAAAAAGAAAAAGGCCAGCTTCGCCGTCTCCAGATGGTAGTGAATAGCATTAAGGTTGGTATGAAGTCCCCTGATGTTGCAAAAATTCACGGATAGCGTGGCAGGGGTCTCCGTGGTGTTCTTGCTCCGCTTGCCCCGAGCAGTTTTTGTCGCGAGCGGAATTGCGCTTCCCCCCCCCCTCCTAGAATACGCGGGGCAGCTTGAGAGGAGTAGGATAACTTGGTCGTGGATGCTCAGCGAGGGATTATCCGTCACCAGGTGTGCTGGTGCCCTTCTTGGGGTAGTTCTTCATTTAATTCCGCTACCATGTTAAGTGGGGGGTGGGGAATTGGGCCTCCAGCCACTTGCACTCACCGAGCGAAAGGCATGAGTAACTCTCTACTTCACGCTGGTATTCTGTGAGGTTGTGGTAGCACCTCGGTTTGAGCCGGCCCATCCGTGCTACAGTAAAAGCTGCCGCGTGGCTCTACCACTGTTAAACTGTTCACTGCCCTGATTAGGGACCCTTACTCCCTTACTCTTACTACACCACCCTTACTCTTACTACACCACCCTTATTAAGGGCTTAGGGACCCTGATTCAGTGTAGTGTAATAGGGGTATTATACGCTGCAGCATGACTCTACTACGTTCAAAAACGTTACCATGTTCAAATAGCGTTCTTTCTGCGGTTTCACCGCGAAAAAAGAGAAAAAGGAGATACTAGGTGAAGAAACCGCTCTTTATACAATTTTATCGCCTTTAGCTGTCGACCTCATTGGGTTAACATGACACTTGAGGGGACGATACGGTAAGCTGAATTTTTCGTTTGGTGTCTTTTATCGATACGAGATGGCACGACGAGTGAAGGAAAGAACAGTACTCACATGGATTGAGAATCATTCTGATTTATTTTACGAATTTACCAATGATTTAATATATTACACAAAACGTCAAACTGATATTGGATGCAAGAAAAGTAGTGTGAAAGGGCACATTGAAGTATCTGTACACCAAGGGACATTCAAAAAACCCGATGAAAGTTTTTATTTTGATGTGATCAGGTTTCTGATATTGTGCAATATTCCTTGGTGGCAATTGAACAACCCGGTCTTTAAATTTTTAACGAAATATTTGTGTTGTCATTACGCTAATCGCTCTACGCTACTATCCGAAACAATTTTAAGAAAAATATATTTAGATAATATATTTAAAAAGAAATTGAAACTATATACAATGATTTCTTATGAAAGATTGTGGATCTCTTTTGATGAAACCACTGACTTCCTAGGTAGATATGTTGTAAATTCTCTAACAAAGCCACTTAATTCAGTAAATATTAAAAAATCTTACTTAACTACATGTTGTAAAGTGTTATGGGGGTAATACATCTTCAGTTTTATATATGCGATAAAACTGTGCAGTCAAACTGTAAAGATAAATCGTATGTCCCTCTAGCCCACACACGTTCAAGTAAAACTGCGCAGTTTATTCATTTCGTTCTGCGATGGCATTGACAGACGACGCATTATGTACTGTTGCATTTATGTTCAAAACAAAAGGCAGAAAATTTTTTCCCATTAATATACTTTTGTGAAGAAGTTTATACAAATGAATATAAAAGATAATTTCTCATTATTTGACACTGGTAAAAGTATAAATGTACGAATCTATTATTCTTAAAGACAGTTGGCTCAAAATGACCGTTTAAATCTCCCACGAAAATCGCAATGTGACGCATCACCAAATTGTGAAGTTATGTGAACCCAATGAAGTTATATGAACCTAATCAGATTAGGCTGTATGGTTTAAAACCTTTGTTTGCCTTAATGGTCGAATCGTAACAACAACAAATCTTGGGTATGTTCCGAAATACAACGCAGTGTACTGTCCAATGCAAATGACGTCATGAATCGACGCTATACTGGTGATTCGTTCCAAAACATTGGACAGTATATGACGTCATACTTTTGCGCCATTTGGAAAAGTGTTGGCGATTATTTTGTCATTTTGTGCTCCAAAAATCATTATATCCTCCTAATGTATATACCATCAATTATTCTATAATTTTTTGTATTAGAATAAATAGAAACAAATTCTGGCATGCTTCATTCGGCAAACACACAATTAAAAATTGTTTTATTATGGCCGGATATCCGACACAATATGGAGGCACGCTAGTACAATAAAGTGTCAAATGATACGTCATTTGCATTGGACAGTACACTGCGTTGTATTTCGGAACATACCCCTGTCAGTGTCCCGTCAATGTCATTTTATTCGCTCAAAATGCAAGTGAATTATTGAATTTTTGAAATTTAATTTATTTCTGTATATTTTCTCATGTAAAAATCTAATGTTTCATGTTAGGGTCACTTTCATTGATTTATTAAACATATGTATGGTGTTGTATTGCAACTATTTTTGCTTTGTAATATAATTGCATGAATTTCGATGAATGCCATAATCGATATTGCACATTTTTAGCTATTGAACTTTTAATGGATTAGCAAAAATAGAAATGATAATGATATGAAACTTTGATTTGATCTGAGTGTGGTGTTTTACTCAATTTTACATTACCATGTTGTTGACGCCAATTTACATTGCAATGACTTTTATAAAAACTTGGCGTATTCGTTCATTTCGTGCTCGTCTCCTGGAGTTCCTTAGTGGTAATACGAGTGTTGCTTTTTGCAAAGTCCCTGAAAATGCAGCAGGTACGAATTTTTTATCATTATATGCCTTATAATTTAGTTATTTTATTGTGTTTTAATGCATTGGATGAGAAGTACCTAATGAAAATCTTTCTTGCATATTAGTATTTGCTGTATATGATAATGATACATATATACAAATACTTTTATTTCATTGTTGAACCATCATGTCAATTAATCATCTTTATTATTGTTTTGTTGTTTTTTCTGAAAATGTTTATATAATGTGTATTGAGGCACAGCTTCTATGGGTGCCCCATATATTTTAATACGCAAGCAGACTTAGTTCTGCATGATAAACTGTTTGAAACATTAGAAATCTCATCAATTTTGAAATAGGTAAATTAGTTTATTTTAGTTACTTTCATATTGTAATATATAAAATTTTGCTATGGGGAAATGTGACTGACATTGAAACTGTATTTGTTTTGCAAAAGAAAACAAATACAGCAATAAAACAAAGGAGTATGTTAGTGAAAAATTTTAAGAAATAAACATATTAACTTTAGTGTCACAATATGTTTATGAAAATGTAAAGTATGCACATAAAACTTGAATAGCTTTCATAAGAGCAAAGATGTTTATACCTTAAATACCTACCAGGAAAAGATACAAGCTTGTAATGCAAGTTACTAGACATCACAGAATTAGCAATTCATTTATAGGACAATGTGTATGCTTTTACTACAAAATCCCAGAAAAGTGTAAAAAGGGTTATTATAATATTAAGGAATAGATAATATGAGGTTGCTACTATGCTGGTTCTATTATATTTCATAAAAATCTCACCAGGTTTGTTGTTGGTTCTTCCCAATATAGAGGTATTTTTCTGAACCAGTGGTATAAAATAAAATTGCCTTTCAATAAGTATTATGTGATATTTATAGATCGGATATTCAGATGCATATTTACCTAAAATTGAGACGTTGGCTATTATGGAAAGCACTTTTGTATATTCTATAAAAAAATTTAAGTGTTTACTCCGTGAGATGTAATAAACCCAGTTTGACACAAATGATGGTTACCCTGTTACAGCGTCATAAAATGTTGTAATGAGTGTCAAATCAGGCCTTTTATTTGCTTTAAAATACATTTGTAACCGTAAAAATCAAAATCGGACCATTCCAAGAGAGTCTTTGTTAAGGAAAAAATATGAAGATAAAATGAAACTTATCACACAACAGTGAAGAACAAAACAATAAGATATGGGTATCTTTAGACAAAGCCACCAACTTTCTGGGATGAAATGTTGTAATTTTTTTAGTAAGACCTTTAAATAAAAACTCATCGGGATAAATTTACCTGTTTAATAGTCAAACTTTTGATGTGATTAACAGTCGTACTGTGTCCAAGTTTTATAATTCAATGTTTAAAAAACTTATGATTAGAACAATTCAACAATAAAGTGTAGGATGTTGTAATGTTATGTAGCGACAGCATAGTATAGATGTTACTGGCTTGGATAAATATTAAAAAATATTTTCCAAATATGATACACTTTACATGTTTAGCTCACGCCTTGCACAGATTAACTTTTTTATAAATTTTTTATAAATTTTTTTCCTTTTTACCACATCTTAAATTAAAATTTAACTTTAAGTAAATATACATCGGATTAGTTATTTGATCTCGGAATTCCGGAATTTTATTTTTAATAAAAATATCCCAAGAAGCCGCTTCCATTATTTGTCAGTCAAAAAATTTGATAGGTAAATATGCATCAGATTATCCAATCTCTATGCTAATCTATATCTTTAATATATATATATATATATATATATATATATATATATATATATAATGTTTGTTTGTACCTTATTACGATTCTTATGTCATACCATACATCAATTGCAGTAAAACTTTATCAACTTATTGTGTGCACCTGCAGAAGGTCATAGGTATAGCACGATTTACTTACAGTGGGTGGTCTGCATATCATACAGATAAATTTATTTGAAAATTCTAGATATCATTCCATTTCAATGATTGTATTATCATTCCTAAATAAACAATATAACTCTTCCAAATTTAAAACAATATGTCCACAATTATTTCTCCTGCTGCAGTAATGCATCAGATACCAGCTAGTTGAATATAAAATATTCTATTAAATTTTTTTAATTTTCAGAAACACCTACATTGAGTTCAAAACTTTGCACAAATCCGAAAAATGCTTACCTTTGTGATTTATTGGATTATACAAATGCTTCAAGAATTTGTAGTATGAAACCAACACAATGCATAGAGATTAATGATTGGGTGACATGTGCAGGAGGTTTGCCTTTGGGCTCAAGTGACATTTCACCAGTGACAGATCTTGATGTTGAAGTGCTCTTAGAATGTGAAATGGAGCCGCATGAAGGAAGTTCGCATCATGATATAATATCTGTAAGAAATAAGTAAAAATTTTTTATGCAATTTATGTACTCACTGATGACCAAAGCTAATGGAATGCTTACTGGAAGTATTATTTAATTTTTTACTTTATTATAAAATTCAATTTTAACATTTGTATTTTAGTATTAATACATGTAGTAAGCTTTTTTGGCAGTGATTGGTCCTTATTCTCATAATTTATTATATATATATATATATATATATATATATATATATATATATATATGTGTGTGTGTGTGTGTGTGTGTGTGTGTGTGTGTATAAATTTAGAAGTTCATTTATTAAATGTTAAATATACACACACAACATTAGGTTTAATTTATTGCATTCAATTTGGCTTATTGATTTTAGTGTATAGTGGATGTAATACAAATATAATTTTACCCATGAAATTGTAATTTTGTATAGGAAAATATAATTAGTTAATTTTTACAATAAAAACCTTACTGCTGAATTAATGTCGAGAATGATTGTCACTATTGTCTGGAATTACAAAAGATGTTAGAGAAGCTCTCCATTGCTTCTTCACAACAATGTATAACCACATATTCCACAGCAAACATTGGCTAAATCAACAAAGCAAAACTATAGACCGCCCACTAGATGGAGTGATGACCTGGTAAGACATGGAGGAAGTCAATGGATGCAGGTGGCTCAGGACTGCTTTGTGGCTTTCCTTGGTGGAGGCCTATGCTTAGCAATGGACTTGTGGAGGGCTGTAATGATGATGGAAAGCTAGAGGCTCTTCAACATTCACAATATTTTTCAAACCTGGCCTTAATAGACTTCCACTTTTTTAAATGTGTAGATATCTTTTTGATAGGCAAAAATTTCATTGACTTTCATGTGTATGATTTGTGTTCCATTAATATATAGAATGTGTTAAGGTAATAGTTTAGGTAAATATTTTGATTATGTAGTGTTGTTTTTGAAAAAAAATTGTTTTCCCATACAAATGGAATTTAAAGGTACATCCCAATGATTTGAGCCCTTCATGGTTATATAACGTTATATTATAGAGTAGTTATTACAATCAATTTGTAATAACTGCTCAAAGAGAAACTATGATGAAACAATATAGTGAAACTGTTAATTTAAACTATGTACATTTTCCTTCTTTGTACTTATAATTTAAAATGTTATTCATTGATATGTTTAGTTGGAGTCCATGGGCCAACCAGTGGCATGGAAGGCAGGTTCACATTTAGCAATAGTCTTAAAGACTAATATTGAGCACCTCAGTGTGGTTGGTTTTCACTTTACTGGTGGAGAATTTATTATAGACCATAAACTTCCAGTTGTTAGGATACAAAGTAAGTATATAGTTAAAGAAAAGGGAAATCCAATAACTTTATTTGTTTCCTAGTTAGTAAATGCAGGTGACCTTAAAGAGTTATTTATTTTTAGCTGTACAAATCTCAGGCGAACCAAACAATGCAGCTGATGTGTCAATGAGGGGTCTACGCAGTGACATTCAACAAGGATTGAAACAATTTCCCGAATTATTCCAGTGGCCAGTTCATGCAGCTTTGCTTAGGAAATTGTCTAAAGTTGTTGATATAAAATCAGATATTAGAAATACAACTGTCGAAATGAATGGTGGTACTGATCAGGTTATGGATACAACACCAGTAAAAAGGTCTGTGACAATGGCAGATGTAAGCACCATAACAACTAAATCACTATCACCAGATGAAGAATTTGATAAACCTGTAGAAACCATTAAGGTTGATGAAAATGTAAAATCTCAAGAAAAATCACCAGAAAAGAAGAGTAAAGACAAGTCGGAAGAAAATGGAAAAGAAGTAGTTGTTGAAAATGTCACTGTTGAAATTCAACATAATATCACACCAAAGAAATCTAGTTTGAAATTAGACTTAAGAAAAGGCACTAGTCAACTTTCTACATCATTGTTAAATATATCTAGTCAAATAAAATCCGTAACCACCCATAAAAGAATAATAAGTACATCAGGACCAAAGAAAACTCAACCACAAATTGATGCAACACAGGCAATTAAGGAAGAACATAAAAATAAATGTTCACCACAACAGAGTACATCAAAGTCATTAAAAAGTTTCCGTCCATTAGTAAATACAAAATCACCAAATATTTTAATATACTCTGATAGTGTAGCAGCTAGGGATAATTTAGAAGCTTCTCTTAGGAAAGTGTTGGATTGTGACAGGTAAGTTACAAGATACATTATCCATAACATTTTCATCAACAGCCTTTTAAATTCACACCACACACCTTTACAAGAATGCCACTTCAGTTGTGCATTTATTAAAAGAGTTGCCCAAGCTTACCATGATGAGAATGTGGGCTCCTAGCTGTAATCCTTGCACTCAATAATACGAGCTTAGGGTTCGTCACAATGAAAACTGCCGATTGAATTAACAAAATTGACACTTTAATTACTGAACACCAATTAAAACTTAAATCACACTAGTAATTATTTACACTTAACACTTTAGTTCACTTTATTTCACTCCGAAAGCTTCGCTCGTATTGCCAATTCAATACTCCCCCGGTCGCAGCACTCAACGGCTTTAAAAAGGCCTTTTCCACCGAAACATCTAGAATGTTCCAGCAAATACCGGTACCGACCGTAGGTGGAGAAAGTTCGAGTATGGAGTTTTCAGAAAGCTTGTTCTATTCGAACAGATGGCGTGGAAGTGGAAAGTTCCAGCATGGATTTTCTAGAAAGCTCTCGTTGTTCCCCGACACTAGATGGCGCTAGTGCAGGACCGACATCAACTTAGGCGCGCAACAATACTTCTTGCTGTTATCAGTGTGATTTGGTCTTCAGAACCTTGTTTGACAATTGGCAGGGTGCAAGCACCGCATGCAGATAAAGGTTGACATATTATAGAGAAAAGGTGAACCTCAAATGCTCGCAATATATTATTATTCCCATATAATTGTAAATTGGTTTGGGTTAAATTCTGGAAGTTCTAATTTAGGTAAACTAAACTAATTGCAAAAGTGATTGTGAGTTATGCAGTTGTCACCAATTTAAATGAGTGAATCAATACTAATTAAAAATGTTTGGAAATTCTTATTTAGATTAAAAAAAATTGTTGTAAAAACCTTCTTCTTTATCAGTCCATATACAGTTGTTGATTGTCGTCTTCATGCCCCAATGAGACATGTAGGGTTCGGGCCTCGGGGTATGCCCCCATTACCCGTGCTATCCTCGGTCCGGTCCTGGGAGCCTTCTATTGGCGTTGTTAGTTAGTTTTTCCCGTAGTTAACCGACTACGGGAAAAAAAGAGGTTGTCTAATATAAAGTCGGAGTTGGCCTTTCAGCGGCATTGAGGGTTGTTACTCGACTCTCTAATCGATATAGAGAGGAGTTCTCTTGGATAGGGTCGCCCGTCCGGAGGGCGAGTGTGTAGCGGCGCAAGTTGGTTAAGATGTAGGTGTGGCCCGTTGTCTGCACGGTCGAACAGTCCGCGCGCCAACCGGGCCACAAACTCCTGGATGGTGTCAATCTTCAAGTTGGCCGCTATGACGTCATTCCGGACGTAGCGACCCGCACCGACGATGGTTCTTAACGCCATATTTTGCTGGGCTTGCAGTCGCCGCCTCAGAGGCTCGCTCAGAAGCGCGTACCAGGCCGGAGCAGCATACGTAATGATGGATCTGATATATGTTTTGTAAACTCGCACTTTGGTGTTAAGTGGTAACTTGGATGCCAGGACCGGACGGAGCATCGCCCGCGCACATCGTGCTCTGCGGACGACGAGGTCGACGTGCGCAGTCATGCGCAGCGGCCGGTCGATCCAGCACCCAAGGTAGGTCACGGCCTTCTCGTACGCGATCTTCTGGCCATTGAGGGTTAGCTGGGGTGGTAGGTTCCTGAGGCGGCGAGTGAGCAGAGCGGTCGTCTTATCAACGTTGACGACCATCCTCCACTCATATAGCCATGGTGGCAGCAGGTCCAGGAGACGTTGCATCCTGGCAGTGGCAATGTGGGCTCTTCTGGACGAGGTGAAATAAGCGCTATCGTCCGCGTATAACGCAAATTCCACGTCATCCTCCCACTCTTGCAGCCTTCCTGCCAGGGTAGGGATATCGTTGGTATAAGCCGCGTATAGGACTGGAGACAAACCTGCTGAGGAACGCCGGCTCTGATGGTTCTGGTTGCGGACTCGGCGCCCTCTACGCAGACGTAGAACTTCCTGTCTGCCAGGAAAGACGCCACTAGCCGCAACATAGCAGGAGGGACACTGGTCTGTTCTTCTAATTTATAAAGTAGTCCAGAATGCCACACCCTGTCGAACGCCTTCTCGATATCGAGAAAGACGCCCAACGTAGTGCGGCCACGGTTGTATTCGGCCGCAAGCAGGTGCAGCACTCTGGTCAGCTGTGTTGCTGTGGAGTGACCCCTCCTGATCCGTGCTGCTCCTCCCGTAGTTGGATGCACGGGCGGAGGCGTCTTAGCAACAATCTTTCAAGCAGTTTAGCTATGTGTGGTAGCAGCGTGATCGGCCTGTAGCTGGCAGCTCTACGCCTGTCCTTCCCGGGTTTCGGCAAGACGATCACTTTGCCTTTCTTCCAGTCCTCCGGGAAGTGAGATGTCTGCAATATCCCATTGTAGAGTCGACCAAGCTCTACTTGGACTCTATGGGGCAGCTGTCGGAGTGCAGCGTTGGTAATTTCATCGTGCCCCGGCGCCTTCCTCGGTTGCAGGCGGGTTGCTGTCCACCGCAGTTCAGCGGGGGAGATGAACCGCTCTCCTGCAAGAGGCGGCGCGGGCGACGACAGGAACTCCTGTACGCGACTCTCCTTTTGGGCATGAAGCTCCAAGAACTCCGCACTTGCTGGGTTCGGCATAAATTGCTCCTCGAAGTGCTCTACTAGGATATCCGCTCTACCCTTGGCATCGTAACGGCGTTCGGCCGCGTTGTTGGTCAGCGGGCAAACGGGAGGTTTGGCTTTAGTTAACTGTCGGTTCAGTTTATAGAGCGACGCATCATACTCTTCCGCCTTCCATATACGCCGCTCCCAGGCATCTCCTCTGTGTGCCTGGACTGCAACCGACAGTTCCTTCGACAAGGTGTTCAGTTGCGTTTTGATTCTCGGGCAGCGAGTACGCGCCCAGAGTCTCCTTAACGCCCTTTTTCTCCTGATCTGCACGCTAATGTGTCGCGGTAGATCGTCTCTCCTTGTAGACATCGGGACGATCGTAGAGGCAGCGTTGAGGGCCTCTTGTATCGCCTTGGTTATGTTGGTAGCTGCGGCCTCTACGTCGTCCGCTGTGTTTAAGGGGTGGTGTGCTGGAGGTCTCTCCTGCAGGTGTTTGTGGTAGAGCCTCCAGTCGACACGTGTCTTAACTGTTCTGGGCGGCGTAGTCACCGCCTTTAGGCCGAGGGTAATTAAGATCGGGAGGTGTGTGAATCCAGGTCGTACAGCACCTCTACCACTATCGGGTAGTTGATGTTCCTAGCGAGCACGATGTCCAATACATCCGGACGACTTCGTGGATCCGTCGGAACATGTGTGGGTTCTTCGGGACCTAAAACGTCATAGCCGTGTCTTTCGGCGTCTTCAAAGAGTGCATGACCCGGCGGGTTGATCAGTCTAGATCCCCACGCCGGGTGTTTGGCGTTTAGGTCCCCGGCGATGATGGTCGGTGTTTCGCCTTCCATTATCGTCCGGACGTCTGAGGAGCAAAATGGAGTCCCTGGCGGGCGGTATGCTGCGTAGATCCTAAGTTCCTCGCCCGCCGCCTCCATTTTTATGCCGATAGAGCGCATAGTTTGGTATTCCGGTAAGTCGAGTTCTTGATGGACGATGTCCCTTCTCACTAGGACCGCTGTCCCTCTGTAGGCGGCCCCCTGAGAAGTGACCTCGTCCCTCCTATAAAGGTGGTAATTAGGCAGCTTTATGCGTGTACTCGGATTCAATTTTGTCTCTCCCAGCAAGATGACATGTACGTCTTGTTGTTGGGCGACGGTGCGGAGTTCTTGTAACTTCTGCTGGATTCCACCTGGGTTCCAGTAAAGGAGGCGCAGGTTAGATTCCTCCATAGTGCCGAGACAGGAGGTTTGCCAGCGCCTTCATTACTGCTGTGATGGGATCAGTCCCGACTCTGATATCTGCCAGGACCTGACTGCCGACTTCGATTGCTATGCCAACCAGACGTTGGATGGCGTCAGCAGTCTCGAAGCCGGCTGATGGTGTTCTAGGTGCCTGTGCAGGAGTTGGCGCTGGACTCGGGAGTTGGTGTACTGCTCTTTGTATATGGGTAGAGCGCGCTCTTTGTGTAGAGCGGGCTCTATTTTCTGATAGAGCCCTGTCTGGCACTCTACCCATTCTGGCTTTCTTCTCCTTGGTAACCTGCGCCTGGGCTATCGTTACCGCTGGGGTTGGGGTAGAGGTTGCTGCCTGAGGAGGAGGCTGCACCTTCTTCTTCTTCTTCCTCCCCCGCTTACTCCACTGAGTGGTTTGTCGCTCTATGGCGTCGTTAGCGGGGGGCTGGAGAGTCGCCCCGGTGGTTGCCTTGGATGTGGTAGTGGTGGGCACCACCGTTTCTATGGGTGCCGTGATGGGTGGAGGGGGGGGGCAGGTTGCCTTCCCTTTCCTCTAACTGTGGTCCACCCGTCTTCCTGGAGACGACTCTGGGGGACCCTCTTGGGCTCCTCTGGGAGTAGTCCCGGTAGAGCAATCCCCTGCTTCCTTGCAATCCTCCTCAGGACTGGGCAGCGGCGATCGTTAGCGGTATGATTCTTGGCGCAATTTGCGCATTTCGGTTCTTCATCTCTACCCCTTGGGCAGTTGCTGGCAATGTGATCTCCGGCGCAGCGAACCCACTTCACTGGCCTGAAGCAATTGGTGGATGCGTGGCCAAAGGCCTGGCAGCGGTGGCACTGTGAAGGGCCCGCTCTTCCTTGCCAGGCCTCTATGACGACTCTCATGAAGAGGAGCTCGTCGATCTGGTAAAGCTCGTTAAGGCGCTCCAGGCTCAGGTGGTCCAGCTGCGCGAAGTAGAGGCACCCAGGTCTGCCTCTACGGGGGGGGGATCCCTTTCACATACTTAATCGGGAACCCCTTGGCCCTGATAGCCCCCTCTATCGCGGTTGGATCCGTGCCCACTGGTAGCCCCCCGTGTGCCCACTTTTGTGGGCTTGTCCTCTTCGGGAGTGTAACAGTACCAGGACATAGCTGGTACTTTATCGGTCATCTCTACTAGGTATTTCTGCACTGTCCAGAATTCTGAATGAATCTGAATCTGACCCCCTTACCGAACGCACGAGCATTCGGTGGGTGACCTAACTTCTTGTTAAGGACCTCGAAGTGCTTCGTCCAGTCCGGTAAGCACTCAGCCACTATAGGTGGGCCATATATCTTTTGGCCGTTTCTTCCGGTGGTTTAGGTGCCTCAGCTGTCTTTGTTCTTGGTACTGCCGGGGCAGCTACCAGTTGGGCATAACTAGTCGAAGGCCTTTGGCCATCGTCCGATGGCCGGCCTGACGGGTGGGTTATAGGCGCGGATGGTGATTGTCCGGCAGATGTACTCGGCGCTAGGGTCGCGTACGTGGTGGCACTCCACCCGTAGGACCCTTCTCCTTCCCTGTTCCAGATCAGCAGCATCCATGCTGGTGTGTTGTTCCGGTGTTCTGGGGGGGGGGGGGGGTTTGGTCTGCGATGGCGATTTAGGTGGTGATCTCCTTATAGGTATTTCCGGTTGGTGGTCAAATTCTCCCTCGGATGTCGAATAATCCGAGGAGTTTGAAGATCCGAAGCATCGCCTCTTCTCCTGGAGGGATGCTGCTGTCTCTGGTGGGATGTGCCTTCTCATCGTCTTCTTGGCCCGCTGTTGTTGGGGGAACAGTTCCCGCCCAGTCGTACCTTCAGGTACGATGGGCGAGAGCGCGGTCCTCGGTGCGGGCTCCTTACCCGGTGAAGAAGGTTTTCTGGTTGGGATCTGCGAGTAGGAGGATACTACTCGAGTCCTTTCCGGATAAAAGATGTCGCGGTACGCGATTGGTCGGTCAAGTACACCAGGACGGTCGGGTGGTCTTCTTGGTTTAGGTTTAGGTGGGGGCTCCCCCCTTGTCCTTATCGGACATGCTGAGAACCTACCTAAAAGTCAGTCAGGTAATCTATCTATAGGCCCTATCTAAAAAATACCAGCCGCTCGGCACGATGCGCGACGCGGATGGTAGGTAAAATGTGTTGGCGTAATCACATGGGCACTGCCTACCCCTTTTATACCAAAAGGGTTGGGGGAAGTGCGGAGGTGGCACTTTATAAACGCGACTGGGCACAGGATGCACGGAGCGCATAAAGTGCCAAGAATCACCTAGGGGCCGGTGACCTCGACGCCTCACGGAATCACGGGACTCGACGATCGGCGGAGTATGTCGTACCGGCGGTTATTTGCAGCCACTGCTAACTACAAATAACGCACACCTAGGAGATCCTTGATATATACTGTTTGCTGCTGGATGTGGTCGCTTCCACCGTAGTAAAACTTTATCGTAACTACCACTCTTGGCAAACGGCTTCAACTGTATAATTATACCATATAAATTGCACCTTTAACATTACTGTTCATCGTCTAGGTATTTTACATGTGATAGCGGCACTTATTATCCATTGGAACCCAAGGGATCTTCCCGGTATTTTCTTTTGTTGACGTTCATGATAATCGGGAACAGTTAGCTAAAACTAAGTAACGTCTCGTTTTTTAAATAGAAATTAATTAGATGAGAATATTTAGATGTTTGTGATCTAAAACATAGCTGGAATTACTCGAACTTATTTTTTTTATTATCCATAGGTACACGCTATACAGCGTGTCCCGTGAGTCTTTAGAGGCCGGGGCGTGGCGAGGACGTGCTGCGCTAGTGGCTGTCGCAGGTTGCGTGGGTCGCTGTGCGCCCTTGCTGTTGGCGCATTTGCTCGATGGAGGCCGGTTGCTTGCTCTATGCTCAGATTTGTTACATACAGTGTTGCCTTATTATAAGACTGCTGAGGTAAGGGTACTTTAAAATATAAAAATTGTTTTTATTTTATTTTTTCGTATATTACAATTTATATTTTCAACCGATTTCAAAAAAGTGGTTCTCAATTTCACTGTATTTTTTTATGTGTTTCTCTTAACTTTTTCTAGGTGTACAGATTTGAATAATTCTTTTTTATTTAAAAGCTGGTGCATCTCATGTGGCCCCATATAAATTTGATCAAAATCTGACGAGTACTTTTGAGTTACCCTTAATAATGCGTATTTAATTGACTTCGGTTTACATTGATGATGTACTCATTTTATTAATATTAAAGTCGGTTTAACAACATTTTTAATTTCGCCACTTGTGTATTTGGTATTTTGAAAACGACTCTGACAAATTTAAAAAAAAAACACAGCTGTTTCCCAACTTGTAAAAATTTAATTAAAAATTTTACCTACGGATTTTCTTGCAACTAAATTATCTATTTTATATGCTTGATTTCATAATTATAAAATGTATATTTTAGGTTCGTGAAAATGAAATTGTACAGTTCAGTTACGACAAATGGAAGTCAGTAAAAATGAAACATCACATATTTTGTTATCAGGCATCGCCCGCTAAGAAACAATTCTCTACTGAAAGTGATAGGCAGTGAGTTTGTACAGCATATTGTTGTTGGTTTTATAATATATTTAGTGTAATTTTGTGCTTAAAATGTAATTTTTAAATAATTTTCAGAGCCAGTCAAGATGGCAATTTTAGCCGGTATGCATAATGAATCTAATTTGTAAATTATTTGCATTCTGTAATATTTGCACAAACTTTGTTTAAAATATTTTATTCTATTATCATTGACACCATATTATGCTCTCATAATATAATTAATTATTTCAATCACATTGAATTTATTTATATTTTAATACTCGTAGGTACTTATGTATATTTTACTTCATTTATATGTTTTGAATATATAGTAGTTGTATTTACATTATGCATAATAAAACAAGTACTATTATTTTAATTATTCATTAAGAAACAATGACTGCATGTAATAAATTATTAGGTATCTCTTATCATAATGCTATTGTATTAAGAGCTGTAAGTGGAGCTTATTAAGCTAATAAATAAAATATTTATCAAAATCTTTTTTATAAAAAACTAATTTGATTGATGGAAATAAATGCTATAAGTAATTTTCATATTTACTTTATGAAGTATATTTATATGTTTTATAGATTGTATGTTTGCATATTTTGTAGTATGTATTTCCATACTTAATAACTACTATTTTTATGTTGAGACTGTTTTATATTATGGGACAAACAGTATTTAGTGGTATTTATATTTTATTTTAGACCATCAAAATACACTGGTCACCCTGGACATGAGCTGGACATTCAGATCCTGGCGTCGGAGGAAACATGGCGAACTCCATCTTTATTACAAGCAACTGATACTATCAACAACGGTATAGCGATTTTTTCTCAGGTAAAATTTTATTAATAAGTTGGTTTTTTTTATTAGTGATATTGGAAAATTAAAAGCTGTTTTTGCCTTATAAGTCGAAAGAAATAATCTAGATTAGTTTGTAAACAATCCCAATAAGTGTTAGTATGTTTCAGATCGAAAAGTTCCTCATTTTAACTTTGTCTTATAGTGCGCGTTGGATACTCTGAATATTTTACGTCTGGCGTTAACTTTAACAACGTGGTAGAGCCATGCTGCAGTTATATTAGTAGTATAGTTGTAGCACGAATGGGTCGGCTCGACCGGCGAAGGACCACGCTCTTACATAATACCAGCGTCAAATAGTAGCTTAATGGTGCTGTGTTTCGTATGGTGAGTGTAGAGAAGCGGAGACCCTTTTTACTGGAAACGAGGCGTTCCACCTAAGTCCTCACGGATGACAACGCGTGTGCATTTTGATTCGTAATCGAGGATAGATGTATGTGGTTGTTTCCTATAAAAAAAAAAAAACAAGATAATTACTCACCCATTTATCGGAGTTAGTTGGTTAGTTACAGCCTATTATCGTCCCGTTTCCAGGCACAGGCCTCCTCTCATTTCTGATAGGGTTGTAGGGCGAGGAAATGACCACCGCGTTGCCCCAAAGCTGTGGTTTCGCGAACTTCACATGTATTCGAAATATTTTTTTCTTATTTCGCAGATTTGCAGGTTTCCTGACGATGTTTTCCTTCACCGCCGAGCACGTAGTAAATTAGCACTTAAAATTGCAATTAACAGTTTTATTGATGCCGGCGGGATTCAAACCTGGGTTTGCTTGCGTACTGTGAAATTAACAGCAATTTACCGGATTGACATTTTCCATAGTTACCACTTACGATATTTCGCCTCGTGGGAAGTGGCGTGATGCTTTATTTTACTATAAAGCATTATATTAACGAAAATAAGCTTCACTTACAGATTCATCTTGAAGCTGATCCAAGCGATTATTTAGGCGAGGAAGGTTTGAAAAGCAACGAAGCCCGTTTAGGAATCCTTCACAAAATAATGGGTGATATCTTGGGCCTCCACGTCAAAGATCCAAAGGAGATACGCAATCTGGACTACACGATGGGATACTTTCTAGGAAATCACGTGGTAAGGACCACTGTTATGCACGAAAGCATCATATAATCATTTCTGTTTCGCATACCCATAATAAGTCCATGGTAGTTACATTACTCAAAGACGTTTATTTTTTTAACAACTGCTAAATATTAAAAAGTAATGTTACGAAATTATGGATCACTTGTATTGCCTATACTGTTATATAGGCTATTAATTTGTTGAATTTATAGCCTATATAACAAAAAAGAAAATTATATTGAAAACAAATTAATATAATGGTTTCTTAAATTTACGCGAACACTACATATTGAATAAAACTATATTTACTATATATATATATATTTACTATATTAACTTATTTTAAATTCCCGACGTTTCGGGTGTTTTACAGCACCCATGGTCACGAGGAAACCTAAACGTCAGGAATTTAAAAATAAGGTAAAGAAGTTAATTAAACGCGATAAAATCCGTAAATATAGTTTTATTCAATATGTAGTGTTCGCGTAAATTTAAGAAACCATTATATTAATTTGTTTTTAATTAAATTGCTCTTAGTTGTTCCTTAATATGTCTGAGAGTTTTGAATCGACAATAGCCTAATGGCAGGGTGCAGAACGCAAACTCGGAAGGTCCAGAGTTCGAATCCGTCATTCGACCACTGTCGTGAACCACTTCTAACACAAGCATTTTAAGCTTACCAAGAGTGGTTTAAAAGAATTTTAGCAATGTTGATAGCATTGCTACTATTTTTTCGTAAAAAAATAAAAAATGCATCGAAATAAGAGTAGGAATGACCTAGAGAGATTTTGTAACGTTTTAGCTGTCAATTCAAACCAGTTAGTAAGGTTTTACAAAAAAAAACCATGAAGTGAAAATTTCGCACTTCATTCCACTTTTGTTAAAAGATAAAGATAGAAGATAAAAGATATTTATTTTGTAAAACATGAGTAAAAAATACAGGTGTTAAAAAACTTAAAACGAGCTACATGTTTTTTCATTTATGGCGTACAAAAATTATACTACATATATTAATTATGCTACAAGACAAATTAACTAACTTTACGTTCATAATGTGCAACAATTTCAAAGGCGTCGTAAAATTGCATTAGAGAAATGTCGCAATTCATAATTTCGCTTTAAACAAATCAATCACTTAAGAAATCAGGCAAGCTGTAATAACATTTGGCTATCAAATATTTTTAAGATGTAGCTTAAAAAGTCTGGTAGGCAATTGTTTGATGTGTTTAGGGATTTTATTGTATATTATTGGCGCCAGACAGAAAATACTTTTATGCATCAATGCCGTTCTTGAACCAACTGCGCATAACCTACTATTGTAGGTATGTATATCTCTGCGATTGCGAATTGTGACGTCCGATTATTTGTTAAACAATTTAGGGTTACTTTGAACGAAGTTTGCTACTTGTTGACGGTTTTAAAATCAAAAATAGTTGTAAAAGAAATTTAGTCACCTCTGTGCTGTACTCGTATCTTCTCTTTGTCCCGAACTGGCTCATTAAACATGGATCGCTCCCACTAAAGGAAAGGTTTGTATGCTTGGCAGGCAGCAATAGCAACACCAGACATTTTGCGCCTATAACGCTGGTTCCCTGCGTCGCGCTGGTTATACCGCCGTCTACCGGAAGCCATAGGATCTTTTTGGCATATCCTATAATCGCTTCTTACGTAACTACCAGGACTAAATTGTGTGATTGAGTCTTACGCTGGCTCCACAAGGCTTATCTTACACCGAAAAATTCTTTCGGTACTTTGCCACGTTCTTTTACTAACCAAATAATAAGTTAAGTTTCTAAGGATTAACTGTAATTCATAATTGATATAATCTTCCATTATACCTTTGTGTTTTTTTTTTTACATTTTTCAGTGAGGCGGGTAATGTGTATACGTAAATGTAGCGCGGATTAAAAAATAAACGTCTTTCAACAACTCAAATTATTCATTACTCCAATAGTGCAGTTATGTGATTGCATATTATACATACTTTAGAAATTACATATATGATTACATAATATGTCCACGTACCTATACAAGCTTCAAAGGAACACCGTCATCTGGTATCATTCTCATTTCATATGGTCAATTTTCGAAATTTCAAATTCATGCCCTTGAACATACGAGTAGCACTGTGTATTCCGTGAGTTTCTGTACACGAATAATTTTATCAAACTCAAAAATTTGTAAATAAATTCATTTATTTTATGTCATCCGAGGAAATAGTAATTTTCAACATCAATTAATACTTATATGTTATATAAGATGTGCGGATGAGTTGACATTACCCTTATTGATCGTCCTCGCAAGGTAAACTTCTTAAATAAACAAATCCACACGTTCATGTATTCCAGAAACGGCCAAAATATCATTCCCCCTTGCTCTATTACCTGGATTTTTCCAAAACATCTGTAAATGTGTGCCTTTTTAAATGTTCCTTCTGTGATAATTATTTTCGATGATTCCCACATATAAAAAAAAATCTTTGCATGACATTAGCTTCTCACAAATACACCTATAGTTTTTAAAAACAATAAGTGAAATGAAAATACGTAGTCGAATTTGTTATTGGACCTGAATAATGCGTGCGAAAGAGTAAACAATTGACAAACTGCGATAAACTGTGTATATGTGTATAGATCTTACAAGTGCAATCGTGAACAAGGTATTGAGATTCCATTTTGGTTGAAGAACAAGTCCTTCCCCTCTCTTCGGACCTCGGATAATCCTATAACATTCCAGCACAGCTTGTCTATCTCTTCTTCGATCTTCAGGATCTTCTCGTCAGTCCTCAGGATGCATGCGTTGTATGTTGCCAGGTCCAGTCGTCTTAGGTGGCAATCGAACCTCCACCAGAAATTCTAAGCACCCCTGCCCCTCCATTACCATGGTCGTCACCGTAGCTAGGAATAGCGGAGCTGCCGGGGACTGAATCTCAATGTGATAAGAAATCGGGTTAAGTCCGCACTAAAAGATCACATTTGATTGAACATAGAATACTATAATACACAATAGAATGGCTGTCAAGTTTATTTTGCATGAGCTTTGGCGTCGCCAAACCCGATTCGCTGTGTTGACAGACTGAATAAATTTACACATTTTAGACTTTTGATTAATGTTCAAGATCATAATTTAAAAAATCATTTAATTTGGCATTTTCTAAATAATTTGCATGCGAAATTTGGAAGCGATTGTAACGTCAAAACACTTTTTTTTTTTGCGCCCGATGCAAATATGGGCAACCCTCCGGAAAGCGGGGGGAGGGAGGCGGTGAATGCTCATAGCATACCACGCAGCCGGCTGCGTGGTTATGTGGAGACTTTTACCCACTAAACACCGCCTTTTAGGAAATGGCTTAACGATCTGACTAGAGATCTCTAAGCCGTATACGAACGATCAAAACACATCGCGAGTTGACATTTATACGTCTGAATTGACGTGTTAGCGACATTTTAGTGACTACGCGGGCTCCGCCCACTCCCCCGTTATATTATGTATGTATTATAGTATTCTATGCTGTAGAGTGCAGACTATCGGTCGAGGCCCATGTGCAGCTGACAATATAAAGAAGATAAAGAATGTGTAGTATTTGCATAAACATAAGAATTTAAGAGTTTTTGCTGTGGTTGAATTACATTCAGTTTTACAATTATTCACTGATGATGATTTGAGAACTTAAATACCTTCACGGAACACACATTGCTAAAACCGAAAAAAGAGAAAGAGACAACAATAAAGTTAGAGCGTGTGTCCGGTAGGGCGCGTGGACGTCGTCGCGCGCTGGCCCCGGCCACGTGACGGTGTGATGGCCGGTGAGACCCGCCTAGCTTCGCATTGCACCTCGTACTTTGTCTGCTTTTTGGAGATTTCAACAAGTTTTAAACCCATCAATTAGTTTTGATCATTGCTTTTTTCCGAAAAAAGTAATCCTAACATTCAAAATGTTTTCTGAATTGGCTAGATTGTTTATTTTAATACTTTAAGCGGACAATTTCATACGTTGTATGAATAATGAATATTACAACGAGTGAAGCTAAGTCGCCCAGGGACTATACCTTACACGTAATAAATACATATTCATTTTTATTTCGGATAATAATTCATGTAACTTTATTATAAATACCTAGTTGGTTTTATTTTTAGTATTTACCGGTTACCTTAATTCAAAATATCGCTAAAACTTTAATTACCTGAAAATTGGTAGAACAATTTTAAAAATTCAATAAAAATATTATTGTTTTCATCAACTATACTTATTGAAGTCTTCAGCCGCAATAATGTATGTTTTGTTTTTCGTGATTGTCCAGTTGCATGTTAGAATAAATCTGAACTATCAAAACTATACCAGACTGTTGCCAAGTTTCAAACAACAGTCAAAACAGCAGACATATTAGATATGTCTGCTGTTTTGACTGAGTGACTGCTGTATGTTTGTTGAGTAAGTACATAAATATATTGTTTAGTAAAATTACGACTTTCAGTGCTGTGCAGTTAAGAGTAAAATTTGTAAAGAAAGTTATATCTTTAGTTTTATTATATAGCATTTACCGGCTAATTCTGGCTAAATATAATTTTGGATACCTGTACTTTTGTTACCTCTTGGGTACTTGTTAAACTGTTTCAAATCTTTTCGAAAGCTACTTATGTGAACGTGTTATTTATATAATTGCTCCTAATAGTAATTTTGAAATATAAATATTATATTATGTTTATAGGAATAAGAACCTAAATAACTACCTAATGGATCCAATTGGAAAATAACTACTTAATATTACTTCTAATATTACTATTAGCTTAATATTACTCTTTTAAATGGTCGTTTGCAGCTTGCAATAAAACGCTTGAAACTATGCTAGAGAAAATAAATAAATGTAATACGCACAAGCTGCTATTTTTACACATAAAATCATTGGAATTTTATTCTTCCGTTATCGTTGCATGTATCGGTGTAAAGGAGACTTCTATCTGAGTTTCACTATAACACTAAAGGTGTATAAGTTTCCGTTTTCTATATAAATAAAAAATAAAATGTTAAGTCTGTTTCATTTTATTTATTTTCAAGTATACAGTTTGCTATTGATACTAATTTGGCTTATTGCCTTATTTTCTCTCTGTTCAGTACAATTCTATAATATTTATAATCTGTTCGCTTAGATACGGTCGCTTTTGTGTGGAGGATGTCATAGCTCCTCGCGCGTGCAGCGTACACCTGTAGGAAATTTTGGCATTTTAAAACGAAACGTCGTAATGTAGGGTTGTTTTTGTTGACTGTGCTACGTATACAGAAAATATTTTTTCGTCCTTTGGAGGACAGTGAAGACGTAAGATGAAATTTTGAGTGAACAAATAACAAAAATACTATTTTAGTGTGGATTCAAAATGTGATGATATTGAATGCCTTATTATATAAATATACAGGTAGTAATGATTCTGACATTTCGAATGATGAAGAATAGTGTCTATTTTACTTTCGTTTATATAGCCTACCTACTCATATTTTTAATTTTTTCTTTGCTGCCTTACTTGTATTTATTCGTATTTTATTACAATCACCATACTGAATAGAATACTATTTTGTTCTTAGAATAGGAAAATATTTATTTGAAAAACAGTAAAAATAAAATAATAGCAAATAAATAAGTGCGCCTCCGGATGTACCGACACTATCTCAGTGAACAGACTATAATTGTACATAAAAATATACCTTATGCATTTTATTACAGGGTTCTTTATGGTCCCACAAAGATTATCACTTAGCACACTCACTTTCTAAATTTTAACAATAAACATTTCGTTTTGAGTGGTAGAAGTCTCCTACCGTATGGTATAAATGTATACTTAGGATTACATTAATTAAGTTTTATTTATCCGCAGCATAAGCTCTCGTTAGTGGACGGTTGGTGTCCGCCGGTGGAAGAAGGCAAACGTGTGAAGAAGTTAGACAAATTAACTATTCAATGGTGCATGAGAGGCGAGGAGCCCATCGAACCTCCATCGGCTACATTTTTACCTGTATGCCTTTATGAGTGTCCTGAAAATTTCTCAACCGTAGAATATTTTGATGTAAGTAAGAGTAATTGATTCAAAATACATTTTACCTTGTAGAAATTTCTTAACAATCTTATAATTGTTACCTTCGTATAATAGTAGTTTAATGATGCTGGTGCTGTCTCGTATGGTGAGCAGTAATAACTGGAAGCCCTTTTTACTTGTAATGAGGAATTTTTACTTGTATTCATTAGGAGTGACAACGTTTTTACATTTAGGTTCTAAATTGAAGATGTAACCACAGCATCCACCTATCAGGGGGACTGCGTGCTTTTGTCATTGTTCTATAAAAAATGTATTTAGCTATTTAATGCATATTGGGACTTTCAAAAACCTCATACTGTTGAGTTTGAAGCTTTTAACACTCAGTGTTAAGTCAAATAATCATAACAGTTTTGTATGGCACAAACGTGTATATAAATATTTTACGCTTTTTTTTTCTTTTTTTTTTTGCATGGGGTAATGCCTACGCATACCCGCCTCGCGGGGGCAAGGACGGGTTATGTCGGACTCGCACCGACTAAAACCCCATCGTGTTCCACCTTTGTCGCATATTGGCAGGGCTACGGGAACGCTTTCGCACACATCCGCGATCCTACTAGCGCCTGCCGCCCCATGGCAGCACCTCCTCGGGAGAGGAAAATTCCTCCCCGTTCTCCTTCCCAGGTAAGGCGCACCAGAACACATGGCGCGCCTTCCTCCACGGCCTCCAACTACGTCGGCACAGACGCCCCCGCGTCCGATGCACAAAGGCCATGGGGCCAGGAAAAACGAGCACTTAGAAGTACTAGCCTTCCCGACCCCAGCGGCGGATCTGGTCTATGGCTCCGCCGCCAACCAAGATTCGGCTGCGGAGGGTAGGGAGAGCGGCGCCTCGCAATACCGACAATCCTCTCCCCCCCGCAGCCCCACCACCACCGCATCAACGGTGCGGCCCCGTTTGAGTCGCGAAGGATAGGGCGAGTGGCGCATCGCCATACCAACACTCCTCTTCCTCCGCGACTCCACCTCGGCTGCAGCGGTAGAGGGTGCGCGAGTCCCCACTCGCTGCAGTCCACCAGCACACATCCGAAGTGGGCTCCCCAAGCCCACTCGGAGCGGCCACCTCAGGCCGGCCCTTCACCTCGGGCCAGCCACGTGGGTTCCTCTTTGTTCACCGTGGGAGACCAAGCCACGGCTACTAAGCCCCCCCGCCACGACAAGGCGGGAACCCGTTCGGGGGGGATTTTACGCTACCGTAGCTTTTTTAAGTGGCTATCCACTTTAAAGGAAAAGACTGTGGCACCGCGGCCAAAATAATTTTTCCGTGACAAAGACTAAATCCCAGCTTATTAATAAACTACTGTTTTTTAATAAGACCGTAAAAGTTTACTTACATAGCAGTTAAACTTATTTTATCTTTCATCTAATCTGTTTGTGGATTGGATATATGATATCAAATTCTTGTACATAATTTTGGTCTTTCGAGCCGGATTATTCTTCAAAAACAAATAAAACCTTTATTGTGCTTCTTCGAAACCTTGCAATAAAAACTTTGCATAATATATCTATTGGCAGCAGTCCTCTAATACGTTTATTGTTCTCATATCTCTGAGCAAAGCCAACTTTTGAAATTTTGAACTAGGGGAAGTGCCCGAAAAATGTTATATCTGCCGATAAACAGGAGCTGTTTATGTCACGTTTGACATACTGTAACGTTGCACGTACATGTATGCATAATTATAATTAAACGGTTTATTAAAATTAAATAAACATTTAATAAACTAAATAAAAATAAAATAAAAGTTATTAACAAAAATAATTCTATAATTAACTTAGGTATCCTATTAATAAAACAAATCAGTAAACTAAAAGAACGAATTAAATAATAAATCAAATATTAAAATATTGTATTTCGAACAAACACTCTGACGCTTCGTTACTCTATGCGCTTTGCAACTCTCGCGTCAGAGTTTTACCCGGCCGGTATCATTCCACGGCGTCGCGCTCCCGGTCATTCTCCGCCCGAGCGCCCTGGGAGGCGCACACTACCACTGCAGCCGCGTTCACAAGCTCTGCTTTGTGTCCTCGTACGCGCTTGCAAATTTTAATCCCATTTTGGAAAAAGTTTAAAATAATATAATAATTCCGGCACTGTGGCCGTATAGTTTTTTCGTTAATTCTCGTCACCGAGACCTCCGTATCGTCTTGCACCCCGTAAGGGGTGCAATTTTACGACTACAACCGTGGCGGTCGTCCTTCTTAAGAGGGTCTAGGCCTCCCCTCGACGCCGCCACCGCCACAGCCAGCTGCCCACGGCGCTCCCCGTGAACAGTCCAACCCCCCGGCCCTGCTCGACCACCTCGCGGCCACATAGGGGAGTACCTGACCCTGCCAGTGAAGCCAGACGGGCATTTTTTTTAAATTATCGGAACCACGCCCACGACCTTTTCTTTTACCAATATATAATTTTTTTTTTATGACTGGTTGTTGCCTTATTACAAACATCAACCGTCACAATACCCGAACCGGCGACGGACAGCAGCGTCAAATGTGCAAGACATTGGTTGCCTGCCAAGCGTGACGGATAAGGCAAATTATTCCTACAAAAGGAAAGATCCATTTTCAGCAGTGGATTTTTTTGAACACAGTTTGAAGAGCTATATCAGGCAAGGGAAGGTGAAAACGTGGTGTTGTTTTCGTGTAGTAATACATCGCATACCATTTCTAGCACTAAAATGTCTTTCGTGAAGTTAATAGCTTGTGTCGGTATTTTTATTACAAAATGGAAGTGACAGCTTATATTCTACCTGATGATAAATGGCTACTATAACCCTCGGATATCTGCCACCAACTTCTAACAAAGATGGCTACAGACGCATTGCATTCATGAAGACTAAGATGTAATCTATTACATTTGCGCTATACCCGTGGCAGAAATGGGTAAGAAGGTCGTAAATATCTAGACCGACTCCTAGGTAGCAAACAAGTCTACCATTAAAAAAAAATATTCATATATTCGGAGGAGGCCATCGTTATCATACTAAACACAGGTACCACTCACTTTAGCATCTACTGACTATGAGAAAATAATTTTTTTTTTGAATATTATATATTTGTTTATTATTAAGTAAGGAGTATTAAAAAAAAAACCGCGAAATTACAAGGTTTCCTCCTTCAAATTGTATGTTTTTCGTTCGTTGCTTGAAATAACAATTACTTGGTAAATATAGTTCGTTTTCTCAACTACAATAAGCAAATATTTTTATTGAATAAAACTAAATTTACGGATTCTATCGCGTTTAATTAATTACTTTTACTTATTTTTAATTCCCGACGTTTCGGGTGTTTTACAGCACCCATGGTCACGGGGGGGGGGGGTAGATAGGGGGGATAGAATCCATAAATTTAGTTTTATTCAATGTGTAGTGTTCGCGTAAATTTAAGAAATCAAATATTTTTATGATAAAAAATTACCATAATTGACTGCAAGTAATGATAAAAAATTATTACTTATATTTGATCGTTTTATTTATTAAAACAGGTTGCAACATTATTATTTATTTATACCACTATGCTACCGTTAGTAGATATAATCGATTATTAACCAACATCAGTTAACAATCGATTACTGTGTAACAATTAAAATATTTATGTGTACTTACTTATTTCAACACACTAAGTTTCATAAATAATGAAAAATATATCCGAAAAGTATTAGATTTATTGGTAATAGATAAATTAATTAGATAACGTAAAATTGACACACCTAAAAATTTTCCATCCACTCAACTCCATCCTAAACTTGTATTATGGAAGATCAAGATCGTTTAGTCGCCATACTCACAGTATCATAGTGCGAGCGAGTGAATAGATATGAAAAAAGTATCGTTCGCTTAGTTCGCCTAGTAGTAACGGTAAAATGTAAGAGGACTCTTAATACATTTATTTTCAGAACTTAACTTCGGCATCGTTAGGCCGGCTGGTGGTATACGCGGATGTGATCGAGTCGACGACGCATGTGGTGGGTGGCGGTGCACTGGCGCACGGCGTGGCGGCGGTGGCGCGGCGCCAGCTCGCCGCCCTCGGCCGCGCCGGCAACGCCTGGCTCACGCCACCCGGACAGGCGGCCGTGTCGCTGCAGGTACCGTGTGTCACGTAGCGCGGCGCCAGCTCGCCGCCCGCGGCCGCGCCGTCAACGCCTGGCTCACGCCGCCCGGACAGGCGGCCGTGTCGCTGCAGGTACCGTGTGTCACGTGGCGCGGTGCTAGCTTGCCGCCCGCGGCCGCGCCGGCAACGCCTGGCTCACGCCACCCTGACAGGCGGCCGTGTCGCTGCAGGTACCGTGTGTCACGTAGCGCGGCGCCAGCTCGACGCCCGCGGCCGCGCCGGCAACGCCTGGCTCATGCCACCCGGACAGGCGGCCGTGTCGCTGCAGGTACCGTGTGTCACGTGGCGCGGTGCCAGCTCGCCGCCCGCGGCTGCGCCGGCAATGCCTGGCTCACGCCACCTGGACAGGCGGCCGTGTCGCTGCAGGTACCGTGTGTCACGCAGCGCGGCGCCAGAACCGTGTGTCACGTAACGCGGCGCCAGTACCGTGTGTCACGTAGCGCGGCGCCAGCTCGGCGCCCGCGGCCGCGCCGGCAACACCTGGCTCACGCCGCCTGGACAGGCTGCCGTGTCGCTGCACGTACCGTGTGTCACGTAGCGCGGCGCCAGTACCGTGTGTCACGTAACGCGGCGCCAGTACCGTGTGTCACGTAACGCGGCGCCAGCTCGACGCTCGCGGCCGCGCCGGCAACGCCTGGCTCATGCCACCCGGACAGGCGGCCGTGTCGCTGCAGGTACCGTGTGTCACGTGGCGCGGTGGCAGCTCGCCGCCCGCGGCCGCGTCGGCAATGCCTGGCTCACGCCACCTGGACAGGCGGCCGTGTCGCTGAGGGTACCGTGTGTCACGCAGCGCGGCGCCAGCTCGGCGCCCGCGGTCGCGCCGGCAACGCCTGGCTCACGCCGCCCGGACAGGCGGCCGTGTCGCTGCAGGTACCGTGTGTCACGTAGCGCGGCGCCAGTACCGTATGTCACGAAGCGCGGCGCTAGCTCGGCGCCCGCGGCCGCGCCGGCAATGCCTGGCTCACGCCGCCCGGACAGGCGGCCGTGTCGCTGCAGGTACCGTGTGTCATGTAGCGCGGAGCCAGCTCGGCGCCCGCGGCTGCGCTGGCAACGCCTGGCTCACGCCACCCTGACAGGCGGCCGTGTCGCTGCAGGTACCGTGTGTCACGTGGCGCGGTGCCAGCTCGGCGCCCGCGGCCGCGCCGGTAACGCCTGGCTCACGCCGCCCGGACAGGCGGCCGTGTCGCTGCAGGTAACGTGTGTCACGTAGCGCGGCGCCAGTACCGTGTGTCACGTAGCGCGGCACCAGCTCGGCACCCGCGGCCGCGCCGGAAACGCCTGGCTCACGCCGCCCGGACAGGCGGCCGTGTCGCTGCAGGTAACGTGTGTCACGTAGCGCGGCGCTAGCTCGGCCCCCGCGACCGCGCCGGCAACGCCTGGCTTCGTATGGTGAGTGTAGAAAACCGGAGACCCTTTTTACTTGAAACAAGGCATTACATCTCAGTCCTCAGAGCTGGCAACACCTCTGCATTTTGATTTTTAATTAAAGATAAATGTAGATGTTTATGCGCCACAGCATCCACTTACCTTCAGGTGGATTGTGTACCCATTTGTCACCTTTATTCTATAAAAAAACTTGTATAATGGAAGATCAAGACCATTTAGTCGCTATACTCACGATATCATAGTGCGCGCGAGTGAATAAAAATATGAAATAAAGTATCGCTCGTATAGGTCGTCGCCCGCTCGGAGCGTAAAAGCCTATATTTGCGTAACGCCGAAATGTAAGAGGGCTCTTAACGTTACTTAGCTTAACAGAAGCCTATTCTCTCACTATCCTATCCCTATCTCTCTCTATTTAAATGTTGATTATTTTTATTTTAGGTGTGGCGTAAGATGTCTCCAACATTGTCCCTCATCCAACACGCGGCGGCGTTAGCGGTAGTTCGCGCTGTACGCACTGACCCCGCTTACGAACACTTAGACATCAGGTTAGTTTATTGAAATGCTAATATTTATAAACTCATACCTTTTGCGATTAGTACCTATCTGTTATGTATTATATTCATAAGCTTTACTTTATTTGCTTTTTTGATCATTTTGTTATTTACTAAATACGAATATTATGGCGCATATTTATTTATTATATCACTTTATTTGCATAAATAAAGAAATAAATATCATATAAATAAATAATCGCAAGGGTATGATGTCGTCAGTGACCTCTATATGTTATACAAGTACGCTGGACTGGCTATATATACTGTGACATGATAAGGCGATTTGATTTTTGACATTTTGGCACTGACAGCAGAAGTTAACGTCCACGGAACTATATAAATACGGATACAATGTGACAAATTATACCGATAAACATTCGATACCCTACTTATACCTAAATAAATAGAATGAACTCTATGGATAGATGGCCTCTACCTATAACGTCCATTCTATTTATGTATTATATAAATATAATGCCTTTATCATTCATCATCATTAAAGCCCTTCACAAGTCCACTGCAGAACATAGGCCTCCCCCAAGGAATGCCACAAAGCATGGTCCCGAGCCAGCTGCATCCATCAACTTCCTGCATGTCTTATTAGATTGTTACTACATCTAAACTCTGATTTTTCATTCCGTAGAATTCTGACATTTCGTAAGTGTTGCTACTAAAAAAAGTTCTCCACCGAAAAAGAGACAAATTTGAACCATTTGAGGGCAATAAATAATAAAATGCTACGTATTTTTTATGTTTCACCTACAAAAAAGGTAAATCTAAATATTTACTTATACAAGTCACCTAATACAAAAATAACAAATATTTCAATATCACGAACAATATATCTAATTAACTTTAATTACTTAATATTTTATTCTTTAGCTGGCATCACTGTCTACTAATTCCAGGTTTAAAAAACCTTTTAAAAAAATGTTAGCTGTCACGTCGCGTCTGTCACATTGATTGATTTTCATTCGACTTCTTTGAATGCTCGAATGCGCATGTGTTCTCGGTGTTTGCTGCTATTTGTTGTTATTATCTTGTTATATTTGTTAAGTTTCTGTTATTCTGTTAAGTTTTTTCTTGTTGACCTTTCGTTTTGTGATCGTTTGTTGATTTTTATAAACGTTATGGAGCCACAACCTGGCCCTTCCCGGGAAGCAGCCCCATCTGACAGAGCACAAGGCTTAGACTTTCTTTCTCCCAGAAAGAAGCGTCCTCGTGGTGCTTTTACGCCCAACGAAAAGACCATAATTCTAAATATTTACAAATATAATATAGAAAATTGGCCGCAAACAACTGATTGGAGTGCAACGGAATGTGCTAAAAAGACTTCTGAGATGACTGGCGTGGGTCTGTCAAGTGTCTATAAAATTACCAAAGAATATAAAGACACAAAAGAATTTCAAAAGCCGAAAAAGAGTGGACCTCAACTATCTTTCATACAAAAATTTGACGAATTCACTTTCGCCGCAACTCGACGAAAGGTTCACGCGTTTTTCTACAGGAACGAGATTCCGACTATTGAAAAGGTAAAGTTATTGCTAATTCTTTAACACCTCGTTGCTGACATCCCCCATTGTTTTAAAACTATACTTTAACCTGTGTTGCCTGTCTACATTTTAACTGTAATGTAAATGCTTATTTCAGATTCACCAAGAGATAACTGGTGATCCAGACATGCCTGTTATGTCGAAATCAACATTAAGAAAAGTATTGAAGCATTTAAATTTTAAATACACAAGTCGCAAACGTCGAAGTGCGCTAACAGATCGCAAGGAGATAGTACTATGGCGTCAAAAATACTTGCACCAAATTAAACAATATAGAAGAGAAGGCAGGCTTATATATTACCAGGATGAAACGTGGGTAAACGAAGGCAAGTATTGAATTATGTGGTAATTAACTTTTTATAACCTATCTTTTCTTCAAAGTATTAGTCGGAAATCGAATTCTGTACTTATGTAATACTTAAATTAACTTTGTTAATAAATTTTTGTTACCAAAATGAATAAATAAATAAAGAAATCCATGTTTACAGGTAATATTTTTCAATTTATATGCATATATAACTGTCCTCATGTATAAGTGAAATATTAAATATATTTTTATTTTCAGGACATACCGTCAATAAAGTGTGGTGTGATACCAACATTCAATCTTCACGACAAGCTTTCCTCGATGGCTTGACAACAGGGCTTAAGGCACCAACAGGCAAAGGGGGGGCGACTTATAGTTAGCCATATAGGGAGCGAAGAAGGATTTTTGGAAGATGGTTTATTAGTTTTTGAGGCAAAAAAAGGCTTGGCAGATTACCACAAGGAGATGACTGGGGAAGTATTTGAGGAGTGGTTCACAAAAATACTTCCAAAATTAAAACCAAACTCGGTAGTAGTGTTGGATAATGCTCCCTATCATTCGAGGAAGGTCGAAAAAGTACCAACGAGTGCATGGAGAAAAGGCGATATCCAAGCGTGGTTGACTTCAAAAAAATTTAAATTTTGAAGAAAAAAATGCTAAAAGTTAATTTATTGGAAATTGTGGGTCAGGAGAAATACAAATATCAACAGTGTATTGTAGACGAGATGGCCACAGCACAAGGCATTACTGTGCTTAGACTGCCCCCATATCATTGTGAGCTCAACCCTATTGAATTGGTGTGGGCTCAAGTGAAGGGGCATGTCGCAAGACACAACAGAAGTTTTAAAATGGCGGAAGTTAAAAAACTATTACTGGAAAGTATAAGTAGTATTACTCCTGATAAATGGCAAGAATGTATCAGCCATACAATCAAAGAAGAAGATAAGATGTGCACTCTCGACGATTTCATTGACACAGTCGCAGACTCTTTAATAATTCATGTCAGCGATGATGACGATGATGAAGATAGTGATATAAGTATTAATGATGACTAAAGATTTTAATAAAAATATGTTATTTTTACTTGTGCATTTTTTACTGTTTGTAATGAAAAGGGACGTAATTATCACTCGCCGTAAAACCATGTAGAGTACCGCACTTAATAAAATGGATACATTTACTAACAAATAAAATGTATGTATAGACTCAGATGTTCAGACACGTATTGAAATTGAAAAATGTGCCCGGCCAAAAAGGTTTGTAATCTCTGACATGTCAAAAAATGATAGCTGTCAGAATTCTACGGAATGAAAAATCAGAGTTTAGTGGGGGACGTCCAACACTTCACCTGCCGGTACGAGGATGCCACTCGAGAATCTTTTTTCCCCATCGGTTGTCCATTGCCACTTTAACTTACTAATCCAGTGATTAACATGATTAACAATCTCATCAAGTGGTGCAGTCTCACCAAAGTCGCGAAGGATAGTCGAGTGGCGCATCGCCAACCGCCATACTAACACTTCTGTTCCCTTAAGACTCCATCTCGACTACAGCGGAACAGGTAGAAGAATCTCCTCTAGCCGCAGCCCACTAACACACATCCAAAGTGACTCGACATTATCAGGCGACCTTTCTACACTTGGCTGTGGCACTGGAGTTTGGGGGGAAATGAGAAGAAAAGAAATAAAAAAATATTCAGAATAATAATCTAAAGCCTCATTTACATTCAGCCCCTGCCACTGCTCCTCGCGCTGCCGGCAATACTTGGCTAAATACTGCCGTAGCAGGATCGCGGGAAGTGTGTATTCACACTCTGCCCTACCACTCACATCGCTTTCGGCTTTCGACTATGGCAGACGTCGAAATCGAAATAATTACAGCGTCCGCGCTGTGTCTTCTTGCAATACAAAATTATGTTAATAATTTAAAAAGTATAAGTAAGGTTGAATATTTTATAATATTTTAACGTCCACACATTTTATTAACTTGACAGGAGTCTATGATCCTTATTGTACAGACATAAAGACTGATTTCCTATACATCGTTGTAACTTCTAGTAGAATGACAAGTTTATAATTGGAATATTCTCGCGCAAACATGATTACACAACTTACTGTTTTAACAATATGTGTTCGTAATTTCCTTGTAATCAGAACTGTATCAGAATTTTAATAAATACTTTGGTTTCAGAATAAAATGGCCTAATGACATTTACTATGGTCGTGACGTGAAGATAGGTGGAGTCATCACCACAGCGAGCTGCTTGGATGATGACGTGATATTACACATAGGTACTACATTAATTAAAGTTTAAACTTTTAAGACTTATGTACAGAAATACAAATTCATTATTCAAACAATTCTTCATTACCACCTTTCTGATGGAGACTAGCTTATGAATATGAAAACTAAGGGTAAGCAAGCTATCTCCTCTTAAATTGAGGACAAATGCCTGGTTGTCAGTACTGCGTGTCTTAAGAGGATGTCCAGGGTGCAAGAAATTTTAAGAATAGGTTTTATATGATATATGGCTGTCGCCGACCGAACTCCACAAACGAGTGAGACAACTGCAGAATGAACTGATTATACCTATGAAAAATTGACGAAATCACCATGCAATATTCCCCGTTTTCTTCTCCAAAACTGGACTGTTTTTTTTTTCAAGAACAGTATAGGAAGAATTGGGGCTATGTCTACATGTTTTATTTTTAATATATATATATATATATATATTTACCTTTATATCTAATAATTCTAACAATACACGTTACACGTTAAATAGCGTACGAAACTAACTTTATTTATGTTAGTACTCTGTGTTATCACAAAGAGTTATCTTAGTCCACTAAATACGAGCCAACTGCTGTGGGGAACTACCGGCATTTACTAACACAGATGCCTATCGTTTTGATTAGTTAGTTTGTACTTCTAAATTATTGTTGTCTTATTATCATACCAACTCTCAGGCACTGGTGTGAACATATCAAACAGTGTTCCAACGACGTGCGTGAACGACATCATATCTGAATACAATAAGGAACACGGAACTAACCTGGCCTCGATATCGATAGAGAAGTTCCTAGCGCGCTACTGTTCGCAACTCGAACGGATCCTCGATTATATCGACACTAAGGGAGGATTGGAGGCGTTTCTGGAGCAGTATTACCAATACTGGCTGCATGAGTAAGTATTGATATAAAATATTGTCGAAACTAACTGCCGTATGTACCGTTTGGTAACCGAGAAAATAATGTTAAGATTATTATTTTATTGGTTTTTAATCTTTATATTGGTATTTAGCAGATAGTGTGTTAATTTTATAAAATATTACGTTGTAATTGTGATTTAAAAAAAAGTCCCGCTGGGTTTCCTGGGAAGAACCATTCCCAGGACAGAGGTTTTTTTTCGAAACCAGTGGTAAAAGTTAACAATGACTTTCAGTAAGTATTACATATAGTTTATACTGAATAAAAATTATTAAATGACACCTCGGTGGCGTAGTTGACTTGGCGTTTCTTTGTGCCGCTGTGAGGTTGCACGCTCGAAGCTCTCAGGGAATAAGTCTTTGATAAGCCTACAAATAATTGTACTGGTTCAAAATGTTTTCCCATACGTAATTTTTTATTTTTAAGTTGACATTTTAGAATTAAAATATGTAGTATACACCAAGAAAGATTAATATTATAAGAAAATATAACAAATATTGAGGGAAACAAAACGGGTATAATTGGTGTATATTATATCAATCAAGGCGCCGACAACTTTATTTCACTACCCATGGGAGAGAATACGTCTGGCATTTAGTTCTCACGTTGTTATCTTTTTTACAGGTGTAAGCAATAATGATGCAGGTGGCTCAGGACCGTGCTTTGTGGCATTACTTGGGGGAGGCCTATGTTCAGCAGTGGACTTGTGAAGGGCTGTAATGATGATGATGATGATGATGATGATGAAGCAATATAAAAATTTCTGTAATACAGCAAAAGTTTTAGTGTTTATTGGAAGAAATTAAGACTGATAATGGTAATAGAAGATGAATAAATGCCGATGCTAAGCCGTTGCCGTAGACTATATATTTATTTTTATTTATATGTCCATTACTAGCGTATCAAGATCGTGCCTACTGATCCCTAGACTCTGCCTACCCCTCTGGATAACAGGCGAGAGAATTTATGCATTTATTTGTTGATGACTTGAACGTTGATGCTTCACATCAGCTATATGTTCTGATGTGAAGCATCAACGTTCCGGGAAGTCTGCAGTTTGTGATCATATCCTAGACGGACCCAACCATTACATCAGATTTGATAGACCACAAATCCTCGCGAAAGAACACCGATTCCTACCAAGGATGATACGTGAGGCTATTGAAATTAAAAAACATGAAAGAAGGCTGGGTACTACCACCTGCTTGGGATCCTATAATCAATAAAATTAAAACTAAACCCAAGCATACCACTGCAAGACCTCAGGACATAGTCAGTTCATTTTGCATAGATCGGACCATAAACAATAATTAAAAAAGCTGAAGGTACTCCGGATTTAACAATGACATCGGGACGTCAGTCATTTCAGTCCCCCGTGACCATGGGTGCTGGAAAGCGCCCGAAACGTCGGGCATTAAAAATAAAAGTAAATAAAAAGTAAAAATAAACGCGATAAAATCCGTAAAAGTAGTTTTAATCATGTATAGTGTTCGCGTAAATATAAGAAATCATTATATGAGTATTATTATACTCTACATAACCAATAGTACAACATTGTGATTGTCCTCTTTCATATAACATTTCTTCACTTTTGTAAAATGTTATCGCAGAAGCGTTACATCTGTCAAGGATAGGTTAGGAAGACCATTGTGTTAGTGCGAACATTTTATACAATACAATATGTCCTACGGAGTTAACAATAGCTTCCGATGACACCCGAACGTTGTCGCTGGAGTTCAGCCAGGATGATATCAATTTCACGTTATTTATCTTTACAGTCAAGAAGAAATCCGCGTAAAATGCAAAGACTCGGACACTCCTATTGAAGGCACTATAACAGGCGTGGACGAAGCGGGCTGGCTTCGTGTACGCATTGGAGGGCAGGAAATAAAGGTAGCCCCTGATGGGAACACGTTCGATATCATGAGCGGGCTCATCGCACCGAAGATCTAATGGAAAATTAAACTTTGTCTTAGCGGGAAGGGTGGGGAAGTACTTTTATACAAATCCTAGTCTAACATCATATACCTGACGGGAGCACGGTTCATATCATGATGGTACTTGCTGTTCTGAATTTACAAGTTAATTGTCAGACTAAATACGGCACCAAATTCCCAATCAAATAATATGTAATAAAAATTATGCGGCGTGTTCAATGAGATCACAGTTTAAAGACCTTACAGTGGAGAAACGAATGAAGTTGTGCAGAGCAACGGTGGGGCCTTGCGGGGCAGGGGGGGGGGGCGACCTAATGTCAGCGCACAGCGCTGGCACTGATAGACAATAGATGCGATTGGCGTGAACGTGTAGTACTTATTTAACTAATTTTAAGTGTTCGAAAAATGTAGTATCTATAATGGTGAATTACTGTTTAGTCGTATGAGTTACTAAGTAAAAATGAATTCAAATGACGCCCATGCTTATGTTTCACTCTATGTTTTTTTTTTTTGATAAAATTGTTTATCCGAATGCAAATACACTACATAATAAAATTTAACAATCGAAAACTGAAAACAACTATAAATGTCATGAAAATATGCAACACTTGTAAATGTGTTTTTTCTTGTAGTAATAAAAAAATGATCTCGATCAATAAATGTTTTTAAATTTTATTTATTTATATAATGTTAATAAATGATAATGAGTATTATATCAAAAATTGTTTTACTTCCATTTTCGTGACAACCTCTAGCATACACGCTGGCCGCGTCAATACCTACGCGGACTGCAGCATCACCTTATATCAAAGGCGTTTCACAACTGTAAGGTCTTTAAGCTGTGACGAAATAATAAATAATATTGTATTTTATTCCACTAACTTTAGAGCATAAAATAAGACTTAAGGATACTTAACGCGGTGCGGACTCTAGAAACTATTAGTTTAATTAATTGGGAAGTATAATGAGTGTGTTAGGGTGCTAATTTTATTTTATTTTCTAGTTATTTCTGTATATATAGTAATATATATTACTATAGTATGTGTCAAATCGATTGAGAAAAATGACAATGACCTTTCGCTCGTTTAACCTGGGGTTACAAACCTTCAATATATAGGCACATTTTATATGTAGTACTTTCTATATAACAATTTTTTTAATTTTTTTTATAATGATTGATATAATACATATATATTAACTATTATTAAAAAGCTATGTTTACATTCGCTGTAGAAGAAAAATCATCTATTGTTATAAGGTATTTTATTCATTTAACAACAAAAAGCATTAATTTATAACACATATAAAGATTGGAGTGATAACGACACCGAATAAGTACGTACTTATTCAAAAGATAAAACTTTATTTTCAATATTATACAAGAACTTTATTTTTATTCAATGCATGGGGACCGGCCCAAAAAAGGTGACGCATCTCTGGCTGCCATTGTTACGTTCCTTTTAGAACGAACTGACGTAACGCGCGTTTTGTTTATTTTAAAGGGATAACTTTGCAAAAGCTCAATATGGTGATTATATTGTTTCAAATATTTTTTTTTTAAATATGAAACTGTTATTAAATCAATTGCTGCGTTACTTACCATAAATTGAAATTTAAAATATAACACATTTTTCGCGATATACCGTAAGATTTTACGATGTTTACAGACAATATATTATTTAAGAAACAAAAAAACAAAACATATGTGCTGATCTAGAAGTGTGAATAATATCAATATTTAAATATAGTTATTACATCTAAATTGAGATTTTGTAAGTTACGCCTTTTGACACTCGGCTCATGTCTGAGGTCATTGTCCGTTTTTCTCAATCGATTTGGCACATACTATATATGATTATATTAATGTAAATGTTTGTGTAATTGAAGAAAATAATTACGGCTAGGCGATAGTAATAGCTTTGGAAATTGTTAGAAAAGGTAAAACACTTTTTACTGTTTCCAGTTTTACTCGACTTTTCGAGAAGGTGGGTTTTATTAGTCGCGTGTAGGCGTTTTTTGTCCGGTCCGTTTTAACCGCCTGTAGTCTAAACAGCTAGATTTAGTCTAAACAGCTAGATTGACTTTGAAGTACTCAGTGTCAGTGTCAGTGTTTTATTCTTGAAGAATTTATTTTTAATTTTATTAGTAATAGATAACTGCAGTCGGTATTCTTTTGTTTTTATTTTATTTATGTTAGTTAATCAATTTAAATTGTTTCCTAAAGTATCATGCTTTTATATATTATTATTTAATATTAAATCAATGCCTTTCCAAATTTTTCTTATAACAACGATTTAATAATCGATACAATTTTGCGAATAACTTAAAAAAAATTCTGTTATGGAAGGATTGGCACATAAAAATTTATTTTATACGGAACCTGTGTCTGGTAGTTGAGCTAAACTAGAGGTAATAGATGTTAAACTGCTTGGTCACGTTATATAATTTCTAACGAAGACTATTATTCTTAAACTGAAAATGTAAAGACGACAGATAATCTACCGTATTGCGTCAATAACTGTTATACATAGGTTGATCTAGCGTCTATTTAAGTAGATAATATCACATATTATATAAAGAGCAGCCACGTCACTGCCATTGCTCTTGGATTTAGGTATTAAGATACGATGTTAAATATTAAAATAATTGTTGTTATACCTTTAGGTAAGCGAAAATGAACATTTTAAAATTGTCGTTGCTCCTTTTGTTGCATGCAACAAATCTATATTCTAAAGTTATCTGTAGAACATTTAATGTACACAAGATTTTCTGTTTTTATTTCGCTATACCTTAAAAAGTTAGACAATATTCTATGGAATGATGAGGTTGATATGTTAAGTAGGTAAATTTGAATATATATGTACATATGATTGTTATGTTGCGTGTGATACAATTTATATACCGTTGTGCATAACTAAGTGTTTTAATGTACCTACGTAAGTTATTAGGTCAATTAAATTCTGGTATTAATGTACTCTTAGTTACGAGTTGTAACAAAACAAATTGCTTGAGTGCAATTATTATTTTTACACAGGTGATATTGCTTAAGTAGATTGATCGTTGTTACGGTTTTCCTCTAAGATTTGCTCTTATATAGTCTATGTTATAAGCTTTATATCTCCTTCACTTTACTTGATGCGCATTGCGATTGGCACCCTTGTGAAATTCGATGTTGCCACTTTTGTTACTTTAACTGTTATTTAAGGAGGTGTTGCCCTTTGTATTAGAGGATTTCGTAATATGTGTGTCAGGTAGGATCCTAATAATAAATGTACGAACGTGAAGCGGTTCAATCATTTGATTATTCAATGGGTGCAATTTAAAAAATAAGTACAAAATATAAAAGGAAAGTGAAATATTAAGGTATAATATGACTTGCTCGAGTGTATTTGCGTTTCGGAATAATTAGCTGTTTGCTTACAGGAGTGACTTGTCAGCCCACGCCTACAAGTTTTTAAAATACATATTTTTGAAGTAAAAATTCTTTCCGCACGCTTGACTTGGGAAGTAAACTACCGAACGCGCGACGAAAGCGTTACGAAAAGTGTGATCGGGAGAAGCGAACGGGAGTTGAGTGGGGGGTATAAGCAAGTGAGAGCAGTGCGCGCGCACATTTTCTTTCTCTCTTTCTCTCATAGCCAGGTATTTTTCGTAATTTTATATCGTTCTGAACTATTTTATGAATTAATATTTTACGTTTAAAGTGAATGAAATAGTAAATTCATTTTAAAGTTCATGTTTTGTGAATTTTAGGGTGAATAATAACAAATTATGGAAGGAGGCCAATTATAAATTTGAATATATGTAGTAAGATAATATATGTATATATGTATAAACGCATTGTGTTCCGCTCTGAAGGTATACACTCTGTATACTCTTCAGAGGGGAACACAGCAGTGTAAGCACTGCTTTTTAGTGGCAGGAATAGGCAGAAAAGGAATCGTACCACCTAGTGATGTGAGATTTTCGAATACAAAAATGAACGAGAGTCCGGTATACAAAATTAATTGCCTAAAATGTTCCAAAGAAAAAACAATTGTTTAGCAAAGGACATAGCCATATAAACACACACTAAATTACATTAAATTAACAACCATAGTAATATATAAAGCATTTTTACATTAAATATAGTGATAGCCGCACACCACAACAGCATCTAATTTAAAAATCGATATTTCCTTTCTAAGTTGTAAATATATAAGGCTAATTCGCAAAATGATAACTTTTAGTTTTTATCAGCATTTTTAAAGCCACTTTATTTAAAAAGGCTGATAGGCATGGAATATGGGCCTTGTCAAGAGTAAGCCGACTGGCATGTTCAACTTAAGTATTTAACTACAGCAAATATTCTATAGCACATCGGTAATGGTAGTTTCTAACATGATTATTTGTTTTTCGAAAATTAATAGATTGAGGAATTGTTTATTATTGTTGTAGTACTTTTTACAACACTACAAATAAAATAATAATAGGATAAAAGAGAAACTAGATGACTATTTCAAAACACAACGGCGCCAACCGCACGCGTTATATTGATTTGGTTTTTTTTTTTTGCAGCAGAATTTCATATGTCAACCAATGTACTGTCACAAAATAAATGTAAACTATTTTCATGTAGAGAAATAAATAAATAATATGTAACAAAAAAAAACTAAAAAAAAGAAAACGAAAAAATCTATTAAAAGGCGACAGTATAACTGGAATTTTGTCTTCCTAAGTTTTATTTTTAATGTAGAAAAATCTTAACTGTGTGAGATGTTGTGTTATAAGTAATAGTTAATTTGTCTCATTAATTTACTGAATAAGCCTTTGAAATATTTTAAAGTCCATGACAATCACGGTGTACCTGTTAGTATTAAGATGTTTGTTATTTATTTCTCAGAGTGCTTTACAATTTGAGTATGTTTAATTAGTAATTGTATATTCATTTTAATGCCTTTGGTTTAGTAGTCGTATGCTGGTCGTACGGGTTCAAGCCATAATCAGTTATTCGGCTTTTCTGTCAAGTTCTTAGTA